AACTACCGCGTTTATTCCCTGAAAATTCAAAACCATCAGTGTTAGAACCAACTTTTATAAACTGTGCGTTAGATATAATTTCCAGTATTGCTCGTTTTATTTAGCCTTCTGCGCGCTAACGAACGGGGGAATAAGAATCGGTCCAGACTTTCTTTACTTAAAAAGTTCCTTCGTTAGAATACCGTAACCTACCGTACCAAAAGCAACATGGGCTTACTCACCTCGATCAGCTGTGTCTTTGCAGATTGCAGAAAGGACTGTTTTTATTGTTTAAACAGTAAAAAATCTCCTTCGTTTAAGGGGATTATCACTAGTTTTCTACACTAAGGATACCTCTCGCGACTATTTTGGGTGCTGACTAGGTGCAACCACTCTTCCGCTCTGATGACGTTGGTGGACCCAGAACCCGGTGCCGCGTCTAGAATATGTGAACCTTTTCCGTGTCGCCTAGCTCAGCTTTCACCGTGACTGTTCGTGTCTTATAAGAGCATTTTACTCGCAATAGAAAGGAGTAATAACCATAGGCCAGGACCATCCAATGGATGTCATTTCCTTGAACTTTATAAGGCGTTCGATGGTGTATTTAATTGACAAATCTTAAATAAAGTTTGGCATCATGGAACCCAGGGAAAATCTTTAATCGGATTGAACGTTTCCTTTCATGTTGGCTCCCAGGGTTTCGGATCTAGACCCTCTTTTCTTCTTCGTTTATATAAATGACCGAACTGAGGAGTTTGCTATGAAGCCATCAAGTTTAAGGCCCTAAAAACCCAGAAGATAATAAGCTCTGCTGCATACGCACAGGAATTACAATAAACGTTGGTTCGCTGACTTCTAAGGTCAAGTGAAGCCAAATGTATAGTCTCACACTTCTAAACTGGTCAGAGAAGTTTCACGAAACACCAGTATTGCATAAATCGTATTCAAGAAATAGGAAGGTATACGAATGGTAATTTATGAATCCGGACAACTTTGAACCTAATTCCACTATATCACTGTAAAAGACCCTTCCAAGGGGTATCGCAATGGTTTTAGGGCTGCTAAGATTTAACCCTGACGGCTGCGATCTTCCAGGCCCGGTTCT